ATTCTATAATACATCATCTGTATATTGTGTAGTGTGTTCACCATCCAAAGTCAAGTCTTGTTCCATCAAGGAAGGTTATTCAACCTTTACTCTCTTCTACCTCCCACTCCCCTTTTCCTCTTGTAATCACCATACAGTTGTCTGTGTCTATGAGTTTTTTTTTTTTTTGCTTAATATTTTCACCTTTTTCACCCAGCTGCCCAACCCTTTTCCCTCTGACAGCTGTCTGTTCTCTGTATCTATGCCTCTGTTTCAATTGTTTGTTAGTTTATTTTGTTCATGAGGTTCCACAGCTAAGTGAAATCATATGGTATTTGTCTTTCTCTGATTGACTTATTTCACTTAGCATAATAATAATACTCTCCAGGTCCATCGAAACTGTCACAAGAAGGCAAGATTTCCTTCTTTTTAATGCTGAATAGTATTCCATTGTGTATATGTACCACAGCTTTTTTTATCCATTTATCTACTGATGGCCACTTAGCCTGGTTCCAAATGTTGATTATTAGAAATAACACTGAAATAAACATGGGGTAGGGGCATGTTTTCTTTCAAATTAGTATTTTGGCTTTCTTTGAATATATTCCCAGAAGTGGAACTGCTGGATCACAAGGCAGTTTCATTTTTAATTTTCTGAGGAAACTCCATACCGTTTTCCACAGTGACTGCACCAATCTGCATTCCCACTAACAGTGCACGAGGTTTCCTTTTCTCCACAGCCTCGCCAGCATTTGTTGATTGTTGATTTATAGATGATAGCCATTCTAACAGGTGCAAGGTGATACCTTATTGTGGTTTTAATTTGCATTTCTGTGATTATTAGTGACATTGAGCATCTTTTCATATGTTTATTGGCCATCTGTATGTCCTCTTTGGAAAACTGTCTATTCAGATCCTTTGCCCATTTTTTAATTGGATTGTTTGTTTTTTTGGTGTTGAGTTTTATAATTTCTTTTAAATTTTTTTATATTAACCCCTTAGACATATCACTGGAAAATATGTTCTCCTATCCAGTGAATTGTCTTTTTATTTTGTAGATAGTTTCCTTTGCTGTACAAAGACTTTTTAGTTTGATGTCATCCCATTTGTTTATTTTTTGTTTGTTTCCCTTGCTCAACAAGATATATCAGAACAAAAATATTGCTTTGACAAAGTCTGAGATATTATTGCCTGTGTTTTCTTCTAGGATTTTTATGGTTTCGAGTCTTACATTGAATTCTCTAACCATTTTGACTGTATTCTTGTGCATGGTACAAGAAGATGGTCTAGTTTCATTTTTTTTTGTACATATCTCTTCAATTTTCCCAACACCATTTATTGAATGGACTGTCTTTACCTCATTGTATGTTTTTGCCTCCTTGGTTTTGACAAATAAACACATGGGTTTATTTTTAAGCTCTCTATTCTGTTCCATTGATTCATATGTCTGTTTTTATGCCAGTATCATGCTGATTTTTAAAAATACATGACTTTTATTGCATCTTTAAAATGTCACAAATAAGTCTGAGGAATCATTCAGCATCTTGCTATTTCTATGGCTGGACAACTTAGACCTTTTTCTTGTCTGGGAAGCTCTTTATTTCTCCTTCAATATTAAATGATAAGCTTGCTGGGTAATGTAGTCTTGGTTGCATGTTTTTGCTTTTCATCACTTTGAATATTTCATGCTGATCTCTTCTGGCCTGAAATGTTTCTGTTGAGAAATCAGCTGACAGTCTTATGGGAGCTCTGTTGTAGTAACTAACTGTCTTTCTCTTGTGGTTTTTAACATTCTCTGTCTTTAATTTTGCCATATTAATAATGATATGTCTTAGTGTGAGCCCCTTTGAGTTCATTTTGTTTGGGACTCTCTGCACTTCTTGTATGTTTTTTTCCTTCACGAGGTTAGGGAAGTTTTTGGCCGTTATTTCTTCAAATACATTTTCAATTCCTTATTCTACTCTTCTCTTCTCCTTCTGGTACCCCTATGATATGATGTTTTTATGCTTCATGTTGTTCCAAAGGTCCCTTAAACTATCCACATTTAAAAATATTCTTTTTTCTTTTTGCTGCTCTAACTGGGTGTTTTCTGCTACCTTGTCTTACAAATCACTGATTTGATCCTCTGCTTCATTTAACCTTCTGTTTATTTCTTCTAGTATATTCTTCATTTCAGATATTGTGTTTTTCTTTCTGACTGGTTCTTTTTTATGGTTTGTATGTTATTTTCCATACTACTGTAATTCTTACCAGTTCCTTCTAGTTCTCACTAAATTCCTTGAACATGTTTATAACCATTTTTAAAAAAGATTTTATTTATTTATTTTTAGAGAGAGGGGAAGAGAGGGAGAAAGAGAGGGAGAAAAACATCAATGTGAGAGAACGATAAATTGTTTGCCTTCTGCATGTGCCCAGACTGAGTACTGAACCCTCAACCCAGGTGTGTGCCCCAACCAAGGGAATCTAACCAGTGATGCTTCGCTCCTCGGGATGATGCCCAAGCTACTGAGCCACACTGGTCAGGAGTCAATAGTTTTTCTCTGTCTCCTACTGCTTTCTTCTTTTGTGCCTCTTAGATAAGACCTGCCCCCATGTGGTTTACCAAAACCCTATTCTTTTGGTTTGAGTTGATCACTCTGGCTTTCACCTGGGAACTCCAAAATGCTCCGCCCATGGAATTGAGTAAAGAGATGTAATAATATTATTTTATTAACTGTTAAGAAAAGAGCTATGATAACAATTGTGCTAAACATGTTGGAAAACAGGAACAAGATGTATGATAGCCTTTGGAAATTTTTTTTTGGTTCATGAACTATAGATTTATGCTTATTTTTATAATTCATTAGTCAACTATTTTATTTGTTAAATATGTTAAAATTATTTAATAAATAATTTTCTAGTTTGAAGGAGTTGATATCAAGTGGATTTTTTAAATAGGATATTGAGAAATTGAGAATTGTTAGTTTTCTGTTTCCTATATTGATTAGGTGGACTCATGAGTCTCTATGGAGATGAACATTCATATGACTAAACTGTTGGCTGTCTGCTATGACTGAGCGATTTTGCTTTATTTTAAAAAATATTTATTTATTTTAGAGAGAGGGGAAAGGAGGGAGAAATAGAGGGAGAGAAACATCAATGTGTGGTTGCCTCTCATCCCCCAAGTTGGGGACCTGGCCCACAACGCAGGCATGTGCCCTGACTGGGAATTGGACCTGCAACCCTTTGGTTCATAGGCTGGCACTCAGTCCACTGAGCCACACCAGCCAGGGTGACTTTGCTTTATTGAAAACATGATTTAATTTATGGATAAAACAAGCATTTAATATAAAAAGCTGAGAATGAGACAGAAGCATAATAGGTTAAGATCAGAAGTATGAAAAATATTGCACAAAATTTGCCCACATTGGTTAGGCCTTGGACTAACTTGGCTTTCACTGAGTGAAACTCAGTGAAACTCAGTGAAAGCCGATCAACTTTATGTGTCTAAATTGATGTGAAATACTAGTTTGGATAAATTATCTTGGTGCCTTGATTAATTGTCCTATTTTTAATGGGAAATTTTATATAGAGCTTTATTTTTAGTGTGGAGAAATTTATAATTGAGACATTCGAAAAGATTTTATTATACTTTATTTTGAATTGTTTAATTTGGTTTCGTTTGTGTAAGCACCAGTTAAGAGAAGCTTTACCCCAGTCAGAAGTAGAAGATACACTAATTGAAATAACAATTTACAGGGAAACAATAGTAGAATGGATGAAGCCAAGAATCAAATCATGATTTGGAACATAAGGAAGCATGAAACAACTGTGCAGAATAACACAAAGGAAAAAGAATCCGAAAAAAAAAATGAGGATAATATAAAGAGCCTCTGGGATAACTTTAAGAGGTCCAACATTCGCCTCATAAGGATGCCAGAAGGAGAAGAGAAAGAGTAAGAAATTGGAAATCTCTCTGAAAAAAGCACTGAAAGAAAACTTCCCTAATTTGGTGAAGGAAATAGACATGCAAGTCCAGGAAACGCAGAGAATCCAATTATGATGGATGCAAAGAGGACTACTCTAAGACATATCATTATTAAAAGGCGAAAGATTTATATGATTTGAAGAGAAACCAGAGTAGGATATATCATTATTAAAAGGCCAAAGGTTAAAGATAAAGAGAGACTCTTAAGAGCAAGAGAAAAGAAATTAGTTAACAGACAGTTTCCAGATGAGAGGGAGGAGGGGGAGAATGGGTGAAGAGGTGAGGGTATTAAAAAGTACAAATAGGTAGTTACAGAATAGCCATAGGGGTGTAAAATACAGTATAGGAAATGGAGTAGCCAAAGAACTTAAACACATAACCCATGGACATGAACAATAGCAGGGGGATTGCCTGAGTGAGTAGAGGACACTGGGTGCAGGGAGGCAAAGGGAGAAAAATCAGGACAAATGTAATAGCATAGTCAATAAAATATAATAATAAAAATAGAGAAGTTTTATTTCTTTAGCAGGCATGGTAGAAAAAGTTCTTTAGTTTCTTTTCATAGCCCACAGAGGCCTCAGGAAGCTCCACGATCCAGGCCTATTAAAATGCACACAGCAAGACATCTATGGTTTCTCTTCTAGCACTAGCTCCTAAGGTATATACCCAGTTGGAATAGAGCTGAAGAACATTCTCCCATCAGAACGAAAATAGTTCATCCTATGAAGCCTTGACCAATGAAAGCCTAGAGACTAAAAAGCCCATTGGATGTTTTTGGTATGCTAATCCTCTGGATGTCATATAGGCCAGATCTTGCTATCTTCTGAATGGCTTTAATCTCACTATTATTGGAGCAACTGAGTTGTTTACTGGAAGGGATACTAAAGAACTGCTAGAAAGTAGTATTTTACCTTAAACTGTGTTTGATCTTGATGTACTGATATTGTTTGGTTACTAAAGTAGAAAAAGCAAGAAGAAAAAAAACCCTTGTTGATATCTAAACATTAGAAAAAATTGTAAATATGAAGGTTTCCTCAGCTGCAGACAGACACTTTCAAACCTGTCTCTTAGTTCCAAGGCCTCCTATCATTCTCTTCAGGGCCAGCTTCACCTCTTGGTTCCGCAGAGTGTAGATGAGGGGGTTAAGAAAAGGAGTGATGGCTGTGGGGAATAGAGCAGCTGCCCCATCCAGGGGGCTGTTGGTTTCAGGCCTCAGGTAGATGAAGGCACAAGGCACATAGTACACAGTTACCACAGTTACATGGGCTCCGCAGGTTGAAAAGGCCCGGCGCTGCCCATCAGCTGTACGTATTCTCAGGATAGCCTGGATGATCTGTATGTAGGAGAGGAGAATCAGGGTGAAGCAACTGGCAACCACCACCCCAATGTCCACAAAGGTCACCAGCTCATTGACTGTTGTATCAGCACAGGCCAGCCTCAAAACTGCAGGGATGTCACAAAAGAAGTACTCTATCTGGTTCGGCCCACAGTAAGGCAGGCGGAAGGTTAGGATGGCCTGGAGAGCCCCGTGGATGGACCCTGCCACCCAAGCTCCAGCCACAAGTAAGGTAGTCAGCTTAGCATTCATGAGCACAGGGTAATGCAGGGGCCGGCATATTGCCAGGTACCTGTCATAGGCCATCAACGTGTAGAGGAAACACTGGGTGCTGCCCAGGAAGTGATAGAAATAGAGTTGAGTGACACAGCCACCAAATGAGATGGGTGTGATGCCTAAAGGGAAATTCATCATGAGGCGAGGAACAATGGTGGTGGAGATGGCCATGTCGATGATGGAAAGAACACCAAGAAAGATGTACATGGGATGAGAATGGAGGTGCACGTCTACCCAGACAGTGATCAGAATTAGCAGGTTCCCCAGCTGAGTCAGGGTGTAGATCAGCAAAAAGAATACAAAAAGAAATGTCCTTAGCCTGAGTGGGTAGGGAATTCCTGTCAGGATGAACTCAGTCAACAATGTGTTGTTGACTCTTTCCATCTTCTGGAGAGTTGTTACCTAGAGAATGGACAAGGCAGGACTTAGCAGAGAGGTAAGAGGAAAGTAAGGAGGAACTAGAGAAAGAGATTGTAAAAATCCAGGACAGTGGCAGAGAAGTTTCTCTCTTACGTGGAGAAGTTACAAATAGGGAGGAAATATATTCTGTGGCAGGGGTTGGCCTGTTTTGTAAATAAAGTTTTAATGGAACACAGCCATGCTCATTTACTTATGTAATGAGCTGCTTTGGTACTATGATGGCGGAGTGGAGTCATTGCATTTGTCCTGGAAACCTTAAAACATTCACTCTCTGAACATTTACAGAAAATGTTTGCACTCAGAAGTTTGTACCTAGAGAACTTTTGCCAAAGATCAAGGATTTACTGGAAATGATATGAGTGAGAAAGGATATTTCTTTTGTTAGATGTTCTGCCAGTTCAAAAACTTCCATGACACACTGCCTCATTCTTATCTCTGTCAGGCTATAAACTTGGCTATAGAGTGGGGAGTATGCAGATAGGAAGTGAGAAAATTCCTTGTCCCCTTTGTAGTAGACAGAATGGAATAGAATATGGATTCAATGGCTAGTTTTGTGTGACAGTGCTTGATGCTGTATAAGTCTACTCTCCAAATTCTTCACAATTAAAGAAAAATAATGCCCAGGAGGCTGAAAGCATATAATTAAAGTTGTGCTTTACTTGATGCTATGTATTTTGGTTCCTTTGTACATAATAATTTTATCTTGGGACATGGTAAAGGAAGAGGGAAGAGGAGGGAGCAAAGAGGGATGGCAAAGAGGGATGGCCATAGTGAGAAGTCAGGTGGCTGCTTTGGTCTGGCTGACCAGAAAAGACCTGATGTTAAACTCTGTAGATTTAGAAGCCTGATTTTGTCAGGTCTCTTTAGGGAACCAGGCATTGGGAAATCAGTTCACACTATTCAAATACCTGAGAGAATGACTTGTAAACCAGACAACCAACTTGTTAACCTACAATGGGAGATTTCACTCCCACAGCTGAAATGTTGTATCTTCTACTCAGAACAACAGTTTACTAAGATCAAGGCCCTTGGAAATCAAATTAAGAATCAGATATATATTTCTGAGTTTTCAATGAGAGCAAAGGGAATTTGATGGAACACATACTTTAGGCTTTGATATTCTCAATGAATTATACCTGGTAAGTTACAAGTACCTTTACATTTCATTCTTTCCTTCAGACATGAATTTTTTTCTTCTGGGCATTAGTGAAGATATATTCACAAAACTTTAATTATTTTCTTCCTGAGTCTATATCTCTTTTATTATTATGCCTTTATTATTTCCAATGGCTTTCTTCTTTTCATCACATTTCTGAACTTTTTAGGGATCTCTTGATTATTTTTCCTCATTTATTTTCCATACTGTTTTCTTATTTGCATTAGGGAATATTCTTTGTTCTCTGAATTACTCTCTAGGAAGTATTATTTCTTTTGGGAAATTTCCTGTAGATAGGGAGTTCCAGTCCACACATAGTGTGCTGAATATTGTGTTTTTAAAAAAAAAATGTCAAAGATTTATTAACTTGAGAATGAGCAAACTACAGCTTCAAAGAGCATTTGAAGGACAGGGTATTTGTAGACACTTAAAAAAAAAGACAGCGGGCATAAGGTTGCTAGAGCATTGTAAAACTGGTTACAATGCAATGAAACCATACCCTTTGAAGATAAATTTTCTACCAAAAAAGAAATCTACCAAGTTAACATGTTAGTTCATAGGACCTGAACTTTAACATCTTTAAAATTAATTTTTAATATTCAGATATAATCAATATATATCATTATATTAGTTTCACATGTGTAACAATTATTCAATAATTTTATATGCTGACTTGTTTTATTCAACCCGAGAGAAACTATCTTGAAGAGAGAAGGCATGTAACCCTTTTTGTAATACTGTCTTTATTTAGGTGTGGTTTCATTCCAGCTGCAATTAAATTTTCCTCTACTTATTTTTCTAACAATTTTCTTCCCCATTTAGTATGAATATTAACAAGACAAATTTCTTTTACCTTTGATCTGTCATGACCTCCTTCCATGTGCCACTGCCATCATCATAGATCTCCAGGCATGAAATTTGGTATTCGTTGAGTGAATACCTCTCTACTTACTCTGATTCATTGATAGTCCAGGTGTAGCTCTGAGATCACTTAGTTCCTTTCAATAACAAAATTGGAGAAAAATGGGATGGTGGTGATGGGAGGGGGTGAGAGAGAGAAAGAGGGGAGAGAGAGAGGGAATGACACAAAAAGAAACATGGCACTATGAAACCTCAGTGGACAAGGGTGATATGAACTCACAAAATAGTGATGGTATTTTACATGCATAGGGATCTCATGATCCTTACAGAAGTTAAATGACAGAGGAGTCCCATAGCTGTGTAGTGTTAGAGTAAGCACTACCACTAGGTTTTATGATTTCCAGTCTAAGAGTCTTTCTACATTTTACTTAATATTCCTTCCCACAAATAAGCCAAAATAATTTAGTAAATCATGTTATTTTAGGTTGCTAAATTGTTAGGAGTTTTAAAAATTTATTGACAACATTAATCGTCAGTGTCCTGAAGTCATAGCTTTGTCTATGATCTGAATAATGATTTTAACAGTTTGATGGTTTATTCTGTCAAAGATTCTAAACTGGTGTTGCTGCCCTGCTTCTAAACCTAGATGTAGTAGAATTAATTGCATGTTCTAAAATCAAACAAATTTTGTTACCATGATTCTGTGAAGTGGCCCATCTCCTTTCATCATCACACTAATGCATTTCTTTAAAAAGTAGATAATTGCCTGGGTGCTTGGCAGTATTTTCATTTTACAGGGATTTAGACTGTGAAGGTATTGAGGCAATATGTTTTTGAATTGTCATCTTATATCAAATACAAATGGTCATCTAGTACAAGCATGTTTGAAAAAGATATAGGAATCATTAGTGGACCACAAAAGGTTTATAAATCTATAATGGTGATCATTAAAAATGGTTAGTGACCAATTTGCCCAAGTTATTAGGCTCCTTTGCTTATGAGGAAAGGACAGGCTTGACCCTATTACAGTAGACGAATTTTGCTTAATTCTGATCCCAAATTACATACCTACATCTAGTCATCTATCTTTCAAAAGCCATGAAGGAAGTTTAAATATTTTTTATTATTTTTTGAAAATTAATTCAAACACTTTCCTTTAATTTATAAAAAGCATCTTAAATATTCAGAAAACATGTAATCTATTGCCATTTTCTGAATTTTACAATAAGACATGTAAAACTGAAAACAACTTGAAGAGAAGTAACTTTGGAGATGAGAAAAATTTGATTTACTAAGTTTGAGAAATGAGACTACAAGTTTCCATTAAAATATAAAACCCTGTCCTGGCCAGGTGGCTCAACTGGTTGGAGCATCGTTCTGTACACCAAAAGGTGTCAGGTGTGATTCCTGGGCAAGGCACATACTTAGGTTCCAGGTTTTATCCCTGGTCGTGGAGTGTACAGAAGACAAGTGATTGATGTTTCTCTCTCTCACTACCTCTCTTTCTAAAACCAATAAATATATCCTCAAGGGAGGATTAAAAAAACAACAACAAAACCCTTATTAGCAATGAACTGTCTGTTTAAAATACTCATTAACACAGAGATCAGATTACAGTTTTACTCACATCTATCCTCCACCTTTTGGGCAGGGAACCTGTATTACAGGTGGGAGAAAGGAACTCACAAGAACCAAATGGCAAGGAATAAAGTTAGAACTACCACAGAACTCCAAGATACTCTTACCTTCTTAGGCAGTGAATGAATCTCTGAAGAAGGGCAGCTTTAGAGAAAGATGTAGCCAATGAAAGGCTTGGGTGATAATGTTATCACAATATAAAATGGCCTAATGGTAACTGCATTGTTAGACTTAGCAGAACAGTGAGGAAAATTTCTGTGAGAGCAGAAAGAAATATATTGAATAATTAAACAAGAAAAGACATTGAGAGATAAAGTGACTGAGAATGAAGAAACCCTTTGTACAGTATTTGGACCAAACGTTTATCTATATCTGAAATTTACTCTGTGGTTATCTATATTTGGGAATACCTTCCTCTCTTTCAGCACCTCTCCATGTCAGTGATCAAGTCCTGTAGATGACGTTTAACTCTGGAAAATGGGACAGGACAATGGCAAGTGTTACTTGGAGGAGAGAGAATCACCTTCACCTGGGGTTGTCCGTATCCACAGAAAATCCTTTTGCAGCCTGAAAGAAGGGATATAAATCTGTTCCTAGAAAAATTTCAATGGTTTTGGGTCTCACGGGGTCAGCAGTAGTTATTGTGAAGAGCTCATGGCAGAAGACCCAATTAGTCCTGGCTGAAGGACCAAACTGATGAAATTTAATTTATTGTTTGCCTGCTTATTTGTAGCTGTCCTTCTCCAGTGTCCATACAAACTGGGAAAACACTTGTGGCTCCCACTGAAGATAAGTACTAAGGTTGGTCTCTCTTGTGTTCTGTTACTTCTTTTATTTTCCCCAGAGGCAATTATAGTGTGTGAGATATTTAGCTTGGGGAACATTATAATAGCACCCTTGTGATAAGACAAGATCAATATTGGTGGTTTGTTTTCTGGGAAACTTCATTACTTATAGCTTTTTTGAATTTTGTATCATCATCTGTGGGGCTTAACAGGGTGTGTTGATGATGGCATGTCTGTGATTTATCTTCCAAAAGATAACATGCATACGACAACATGGATGAAGTTGGTGGGCAATAGGCTAAGTGAAATAAGCCAGGCAGAAGACAAATAGTGCATAGTTTCACCTGGATGAGGCATCTAAAATAGCCCAACTCAAAGAAAGAGTAGAATAGTGGTTGCCAAAGACTGGACAGAGGGATAATGGGGATTGCTGTTCGATGGGTACAAAGTTCCCCTTATACAAGATGAATAAATTCTAGAGACTGGCTATAGAATTGTACCCATAGTTAATGATACTGTATTGT